GCTCATGAACTAATTCTGGTATCGCATGCAATAACACAAAGATGACAGCTCGTTATGCTATAGAAAAAGTAGCTCTGGTAGCTGTCCACCAGTGAACAGTGAGCTGGTTTGAAGTAGAAAAAAATAATCTATGGTGGATTAAAGTTTGGAGGGCAGTGTGTGATGTATTGCAGGGGATGTGATCAAGGTGACCCAGCATACCAGAGATTGGTAATGGGTTTAAGCAGCTGAAGGGCCATTAGATCTCAAACTTGCCTTATGTTGTCATCCTTACACATGCATGTGTATAGCAACAAAAAGAGTTACTAACCAATCCCAATGCTAGAAACCTCCCCAAACTGGTTTTGTGAGAGTGGTTAAAGGGAAATACATTCCCAGTTCCATTGTTGATTTTTGTTCTTGTTTTAACTGCAGTTCTCTGGCTGTAATAACTAGGCCAAAGATGGCCTACGTTTTCCTGGTGCGTTTTGTATGAAGTTGGAAGGCAAAGGTGAAGTAACTTGTGAATGTTGGCATGTGGAGGTCGAAAGTGGTATGGCTACCTATGTGCTCAGCCAGGGAAGGGGTTTTAAATGAGCCAATAGTTGATAGACTGCTCGAATGAATGCTCTCTCCATGGACTTCCAAACCAAAGTGGAAAACTGAATACAAAAGAAAGGATTGAATGCATTGTATTTCTCTTGTGCTGTGTTGCAGCTTTGGGTTTTTCATGCATTGAAAACATACTTTATTTATCACGCTTTTTTGTGGTGAGCAAATTTGAGGAGCAACTTATTGTAAACTTTGGCATTGGCTTAGTGAGTTTGTATTTTGGGTGATTTTTAGATTGACTCTGACTGTGAATTGACTGTAAGAATGAAACAGTGACTGCTACGTAAGAAGGGCATCCTGATTGCATGGACTAGCCGGAGCCTTTGTTTTCAAGAGGTAGCAAAACTACTTGCCACTAGTAATAAAAAGTAACATGGACAAAAGCAGGGGCAGTATAGGACTTCTTTAAAAAGTGTATTGTATTTGGGACTGCATCTACCTTTGCAGTTTCTTGCAGAAAAATGGGGAGCCTAAAGAAAGTTGTAAGGAGCTGGTAGATAAAGTGCAGTGAAGCCAGGGTGTTGGACGGGTAATGCAAGGGCCAGTTTTCCATGGTCAGTTTTTGGGGCCTTAACATCTAATACTTCTGGCTGCAGCTATCCTCTTTTTCTCTAGGCTTGTACTCTTTGTCCTCTTTGAGTTGGTCCTGCCACTTCTAGAATGTGTGAACCTTTATGTTCTGCCTTTTGATAATGACCCTTAAACTTATTTCAAGAGGAAAAAAAATAAAGTATTTTCTAGTTCTCTTACTTGAAGAACTTTTCTCAGTTTTTTTCCTCTCCTTGGTCCTCACATTTTGTAAAGCAGTTAACTGTGCAATGTGCAATTAACTTGTGGATCTCAGTGTCAGAGGAGGTTGTAGAGGCAGACAGCACAGCCAGGGTCAAAGTGGACTAGACAAATTCATGGACAGTAGATCTATTAATAGCTATTAAACAGAACAGTAAGAAATGTTTCCTCTGGCATCTCTAAATCAATGATGGTGGATGTCAGGGAGGGTGATGAATAGGGGATAGTTCATTCTAGATGTACATGGTTCAGTGCTCTCCCTCTAAAGCAAAATCCACTCCTGCTGCTGTTGGAGATAGGTTGCAGGGCTTGGTTTGACCCAGTATGGTGCTATTTATGTACAGCCTGAGCACTGTATCTGGCCCATTGAGCCAGGGATCTGTTGTAGCTTTGACTGCAGGGGGGCAGTAGTGACTGTGGCTCCAGCTACTGCTTTGGTGGCAGTGGCACTGGCCAGTATAGAAACGGCTTTTGCTCAGAACTAAGTTCCATTAAAGTAGCTTCCAACAGCAAAAAAGTTGTCAACCTCTGTTGTAAAGCATTGTAGATGGTCCTTGTGCTAGAGCCAGCCCTAAAACAAGAAACAGCTAATAATCACTCCAGTACTGTATTCATCCCTTGGAATACAAAGTCAAGTTATTTATTCCATTAAAATTGAATTCAGACTTGGTTAACATCTTATGGAGGCTTATAACCATTTATTCTTTTGACTAGAGACTGTAGGGATGGTATACCAGAGATGTCTCATTACCTGGAAAGCTAGCATTAAAACTCGAGAATTTTACAGTTAAGTTTAGAGTTAAAGGAATACAGACACGTTAAAGTTTTGAAGTAGATAGCTGAGGCACATAAGGAACCTTAACTCTGGTCTGTGAAAGATAAGCATTTTGGCTGTTTATAGATGCGCTCTGGGAGTGGGGTGGGGGGGTGGTGCTTTAATTAGAGTGGCTCCGAGAACTGCTGTAATTAAAGCTCCCAAGAACATCTCTTGTATCACTGTCCCTGTGGTGAAAAATGGCGGTGGAGGCGCTTTAACTAAAGCTTGTCAAATGGGTTAAAGCGCCCCCGCTGCCATTTTTCAGTGTGGGGACGCTGATACACGAGACGCTGGAGTCTGCTGGAGTGGGGTAATTAGCATGCTCCAGCAGACTCGATTAATCGAGTCTGCTCTGATGTACTGTAATTACAGCGCATTGGAGCAGCTTCTCTTGCCAAGCATAGGAGCCGCTAAGGACTAGGAGATCCAGATTAGTTGCAACCAAGAGTTTTAAACATCTTGTAGGGGAAGGGGGCTGAATTGCCAATGTTTTTAGTAAGTCTTGGAGCACTGGGAAAGTTTCAGAAGACTTGTGGTGATATGCTGGTTAGGCAGACCTAACTTCTGAGACAAAAAAAAAAAATGGAATGGCTAATATGGAACTCAGTCAGAAGAAACTAGAAGGTGGTACCAAATTTCAGTCAACAATTATAGAAAAAGGTGGGTTTTTTTCCAAATTAATTTTACTGTATTTTATTAAATTACAAATTTGGTTGCTGAAAGTAATCGTGTTCCTCTTCCACGTATGCCAGCAGTGAGATCAGTTTTGGAATATTGCATTTATTTTAGGTATTCTAACTTTACAAAGAATATTGATTAACTGAAAAGGGAACAGAAAAGAGCTGCAAAAAATATTCCGGGGGGGTGGGCAAAAATGACCTATAGCGCCAAAAAACTTAATGTGCCTATTTTTAATAGTCAAAATAATTAACTATTGGAATATTACCAAAAATTGTGGTCGATCCTCCATGATTTGCAACTATGAAATTAAATTTTAGTAGTTTTCTAAAAAACTAAAAAAGTTCCTTGGCTCAAACAGAAATGAATTGAGGCAGGTTCTATGACTTATTTTACATGGGAAGTTGTAGTCACTTATACTTGTCCTTTCTAATCTGTGAAAAGTCAGTGTATTTATATTATTTAAACAAATACTGAGCAGTGACTGGCTTACCCAACTACTTTTGGAGGAATAGAATAATAGATACAAAGGACTGATTAGCCTAGTGGAGAAAAGTACAAGGAGCATCAGTGGTTGGAGCTGAGTCCAGACACTTGAATACACATTTTGGACAGTAAAATTAATTAATTAACCATTGAACCAAATTTCCAAGCTTTATAGGTCACATGCTATCTTCCTAAGAAATGAGGTAAATAAAATGAGGTACATAAAACTAAGATGTCAGATATTGGAAGTCCCTGTTTTAGCTGATCACAAGTTCATTAAAGGGATGGACAGATAACAAGGTAAAATCATACAGGTCAGGCTCAGTTATTTACCAATCTCTTCTGGCATTTAAATACCAGGGGAATGTAAAATGGGAGTAGAAAGTTTACTTTGCTGTTGTTTGCAGCACTGGTGAGAGAGCTGATTGAGCACTGTGCAGTTTGTAGTTCAGAGATGTTGAAAAATTATATATAGCATGTTCAAAGAGCCACTCCATTGCTGCCACAGGGGGTCACCACCACTCCTCACTGGTTCCCTTCCGGTTAAACTGGTAAGAACAGGAACTACACTTTCTCTCTCTTCAGGTTGCCTGTGCAACCCCAGCTGTTTTAGATCTTGACCTACTTCAACAGCCACCTTGGGGTTTTTCAGCTCTAGTGAATAACACATTTCTGATTGAACCTGCTGTAGGGACTTGTCCTCACAAATATGTTTCTTCTGAGGAGTTAATAAACCGAAAAGGCCCTCCAGGGAGTAACTCCTATCCAGAATCTCTCCTCCTCCTCTCACTCTGCACTAAAACTGAGGGCTGCCCAGCTGCAGATCTTTGCACAGCTCCCAGTGAGTGCTGACTTTTTTGTGCCTTTGCATAATTTTGCATTCGTAATGTGTGCGCGCCTACTAGGTTCACCATTTTGGAAGGGACGCATAATCCGATCCACTGTAACCCCAAACAGTAATCCCCAAACCCCCAAACAGTGAAAGCAGGTGCAAGAACATGCATACTAATAAGGTTATGCAGAGAAAGAATACACGGAGTTACCATTATAGAACATAACCGTAGTCTCATGTGTATAACATAATCAGGGTTGCATCTACATTTTTTTTTAAGCACTAATTTATTACAACAGTGGAGAGAGAGACTTTACTGTTCAGTAGATTAGAGATGTGCTAATTCCAACACCCCCACCCCATTAGTTAACTGGTTTTTGTGAAACTGTGACACTAAATTCTAAAAAAAAAAAAAAAAAAAAGTCATGAATGTTTATAGCTATCAGTGTTGGATGCAAATGTGAATGGCATTCAAGACTGAACAGTTCTTCTTTTCCTTGGCTTTTATCCCAAAACCCCAGAGTCGGCTCAAGCAGTTACAACATTAAAAAGAAAGAAGTTAAACAGAAATAAAGCGCACGGAGCAAATATAAAGGACAAAAGTCAGTTTTTAAAATGTAGCTATGCTAAGTAGGCAGCAGGCCATCTTCTTGAATTTTGCTGTTCGCATTTGGAGATGCTTGCCATCGCAGCAGATGGCCAGTAGAAGCTTTTCCCCACCACAGAGCAGCTCCTGCAGCCCCATGTGACTTAATATGGAGAAGAAAAAGGCAGCTGGAAAAACTCTGGAGAAAGAAGCAGGGCAGGGGATGCCCATTCCTAAATGGTGAGTGTGTGTGCATCTTGAGTCCTTCAGGGGTGAGGGGGCCCTCACTCTTGCCCTTGCTGCCAGCTATGCAAGGTCATTGACGTTTTTTCACTGTGGTCAGATAATAGGTGAATTGACCAGTCAATTAACATGATTTGACCAGTGGTTGTACAGGGCCCTCTTGGAGGTTAGAGAAAGCCAAAGCACACTGGTACGAAGCAAGCACCCCCTGCAGGACTCCATGACATCTCTTCAATGGCATCTTTTCCCCATGGCGGGAGCTCTGGAACAGGAATGTCTCACTTTTAATTTAGCTCTCTAACACACTTTAAGGAGATAGGGATTCTGTTTGGGATTGGGTTTCTGTTTCAGTTCACTTTCTCCAGTATCACTGCCACTTGTTCTTGCAATATCCCAATTTATGGAAGGCTTGCTGTACACATGACTAGGGCTGATGGGGTAGGTGAAAAGAAAATTCACTTTTACATTGCAATAAATTTGCATTATATATGCTGGCATGGTGAATTCATTTGAAATGCCCTTAGGGGTTTTCCCTGCTGTTTACATATCTTTGCAGTGGGCTAGACTTCTATTCTTAGGAGCCTCTTTTCTGACATTTTTAGTCCTGCTTGTACCATATCTTGTGAAGAGGGATGGCTATCCCGTGACGACCTGGAACTTGGTGAGGTCTATATCAAATGTCTAAACTTCTAGAAATTCTGTTTGATATAGAAAATGTCCTTCATCCTAATATGAGGTTTGAAGTATTCTCCTTTTTAACTCTTTTTGAGTGCTAATGTTTGTACATGCTTATTTCAAAGTCCCTTTCAGACCTTGGCCTTGCAAGGTGTTAATTGATCTGAGAATGCTAATAGGTAGGGAGCCAAATACAATAGGTCAACCCTAGAAGTCTTTACATTATCTTTGAAGCGGCCATGTGCCTTAAGCAATTTTGGCCCAATTATGGAGATAAGGTAAGGAGAGCAAAAGTTTAGTCAATTTTAGCTCTCTCTCAAACCTGCCATCAGAATTGATGCACATTTTAGCAGTTCTTCTGTCTTGATTTACTCAGACCTCGTCAGCCTTTTTTTTGGCCCCTTATTGGTCTTTACATTCCTGCAAGAGGTAATAAGGAGATCTCATTCAGGAGAGAGTTGTTATTTACTCCCAACAGTTGAAATGCAATGCTTCTGCACATTCACACTTCCTGCCCACCTTCTTGTCATCTTATTTCTATTGGTTTTAAAATAAAAAAACCCTCTGTTTATAGAAATAAGTATTCAGTGTGCAAACAAGTTCTGAATTAATTACTAATATTTCAGATTCCAATTTTTGAGGCTAGACAGTAAACGAATGCCAGATAGTGTAGATTAAATGTTACGTTCACTGAAAGGTCTTTTGTGGCAGTTCTACAGTCTGTCTGCATCTTCCACTGAAGTAAAGTAGATGTACGACTGTGAAGGAACTATTGGAGCAAGTCTTTTAATGTCAGATGCAGTACACCAGTCACTTTTGCTCAGCATATTCCCAAGGTTTAGAGTGACTGAAACCCTTCTTACCCCTGTAAGCAGTCAGTTGCTATAACACAGAGGGGTCACTAGGAAATGTTGTGCCCTGTGTGAAATCCTGCTGGAGGGAAGGAGAAGAGCATGGTCTTGCCTGCCCCTGCTGCTGCTGTGGTAAAGTCTATCCATCCCTAGTTGCTGCTGCTGCTGTTGCTGGTAAAACACCCAGATGGCGGCAATGGCTGTGTCAGCTGCTGCAGTGCAGACTCCCCAAGGGTCTGCCACTTGGCCCTCTGAGTGGGTGAGTTGGACTGGTGCCCTACTTCTGTGATATGATGGTTTTAAAATACGATAACTTCCTTTTTAACCCTTTAAATATTCAGCCTTAGTGGTAAAGACTAGAAGGCTACATCTCGGCTTATTTGGCTGCCTGCATTCGTCCCGTTGTGCATCTTTAAGTCTGTACTTATGAGACGCTGAATGTTCTCAGCAGTCTTTCCAATGGGAGTATGCTTATCAACCTTTGAATGTGAAACATATGACCAAAGTGTATGTTATCATTGTACCATAACTGGTTTGACTCATTAAACTGTGAATTTAGTATGAGTCATGTGTAGACTTACTTTTTTTTAAAGGCAGCTGAGAAAACAAACTATCCTATGCTTTCCCATTCTAAGGCTGTCTTCAGAGTTTGAACCTGTCCTTCTAGATCTCCAACACAAACCTCTACCACTTGCCTTATGGGAGTATTTGTTAGCCTGTGTCAGTTCTCTCCAGGAGCTTATTAGCATGTTCTTTGTCAGTGACTTACAGTCTGTTTGTTGGGCTTTTCTGGAATATTTGAAACCTGGACTCTTGGGGTTTGGACAGACATAACAGACTGGTTCACAACTATCTCAGTTCAGAGGTGTCCACACATGCTGCCAATAGTTTTTTTTTTTTTACTATTTTAGACACCTTTTAGGCATTGCTGTGCTCTCAAACCACCATTGGGTGGTTGGGAATACCCAGGCAGTATGGTTCCCAGTGGCAAGTGCCCCAGTTTTCCCTGGGCGGGTGGGGGGAGGAAGACCCTGATTGGCTGGACACCAAGGAAGAGGAAGAAAATGACATAAATTTTCTGATCTGCCTTCTTACTAACACTGAGATCAGTAAAGAGCAACTGAATTCATTAAAGACCAGTCCTGCACTTTACCAAAATTTGTGCGGTGATACTTAGGCTGGTGGTGTCCAGGTGGGTGGGAGAGGGGTGCTGCTTAGACTCCTGTTTCGGGACTCTCAGGAACTGTGTTCTTTGGGGCTTTCGAAGCTTTTGTTGTGACTTTTTTAAAGAGCACTTTGCCCTCAAAATACTCGCCAGTTTACATCAATTCCTGGCAGCTGACCAGGTTCAGTACATCCCAGGCTGATTTGAAGGTGACCAAGTGGCCAGTTGATTGGGGGGCTACTTAGACCCCTGCTTCTCCCTTCCAGGCGGGCCTGGGTGGTCTGGGGAGGGAGGGAGAGGGCTGCCCAAATCTCTGGCTCAGGCTACTCCATAAGAAGACTTTCCCTAGGGGTGGCCAGGTTAGGGGAGCAGGGAAGGGAGAGGGGGAGGGTAACAATTCCAGGTGCCCTGCTGCTGGGTTCCCATAGAGCTAGATATTCTGGGGGCTCCCCAAAGTCTCCACCACTTCTAAACAGTATTTTCAATCAAGCTGCTTATACATTTCATTCCATTTGTTGCAACTGACCAGACTTTGGGGCATCCCAAGCTGATTAGGGGTCAGGAGGGGGAGGTGGCGAGTTTGATAGAGGGGCTACCCCTGCTTCTGGTTTCCTAGGGAGCTGAGTGATCTTGTGGCACCGTCCAAGGCCGCCATGTTTGTTGCCAGGAATGGAATAAAATTGACCAGTGGCTTGGTGGAAAGCACTCTTTTTAAAAGTTGCAGTGACATTGGGCAGTCCCCGTCACTTGTTTCCCAGGGATCCAGAAACAGGAGTACCTCTTTTTGCCCATCTGCCCCATACCCACCAGCCTGAATCAGCCTGGGAAAGCATGCACTGGGTCAAGTGCAGGCAATACAGATTGGGGCAGTAGAGTTCTGGCTGCAAACCTTGGGGTTGGGACAGCAGGGTAGAGAAGCAGTGCAGTGGGGGATGCCTGGAGGACTGACTAGACGCTAGTCATTGAATGCTTGGTATTTGCACATAACACTGAACTAGTTCAATAACACCTGATTATCCAGGTATACTTTTGAAATATTCCAAGATGTTTAAACTGTTCTAAACTGGCATGTATGTCTGGCTTGCAGTTTAAACAGCATTTAAAATGGTTTAAATATTGTATCTGTCCACACCCTTAGGCTCCATGCTCCTGCTGTGTAATCTTTTTATTTTCTAATGTAGGAGAAAAACCATTGTAAGTAGGGTTTGTGGTTATCATACTTTACTGTGGTGATTAAATTATAAGGCTAGGTTAGTTATAGCAAGATGGGCTAATTTGAAACGTGCACGTTTAATAAAGTCATAAGAATTTGGGATTAGAGAGGACCTCCTACTTCTTTGAGTCTAGTCCACAGTCCCTTCTAGAAATACAACCCTGCATTTGAAGAACAAAGAATGTAGGTCATACTGCCAAGAAAGGCATCCTGGGAAGCTGGTTTATGGTAGATAACTACCTTAATGATTATGAGCTCCCAGCATGATGATGTGTGAGGAAAAATACTAACAAGATCCTTGTGTGTACATACAAGGGAATGTCGAACAGGAGCAGAAGTGATACCTCTCTTCCCTGTGACATTGAGCAGAGAAGACTGGTGACATCCTGACTCGGTTTAAAAAGTATGTTGAAAAATTGGAGAGGATTCAGATGAAAGTGAAACATAACTTGTGGTGTGTGAGGCATGTCGTGCATAGAGAGGCTAAATGAGCTCTATTTATTAAGTTTATTGAGAGGTGGCTATTGTGGCTTAGAAGTACATACACAAGAAGATGTTTTAGTTGGCTTAATGTGGCAGACAAGTAAGTTTTGGAAGACAAAACTGGAAGATTGAAAGTGGAGGAAAGATGGCTACCTTCACTGTTGAAAATTGTTAACATTTAGAAGGGAGAGAGGTAGCTACCATGTTAGTCTGAAGCAAGGCAGAAGGCAGGGCAGATTTGCAACTTACAGACCTAAATTTTGTGTGTAAAACAGATGCATAAACTTCCCATGCGTTTCTGATTTAGTTTGTCTATAAGGTTGAAATCCAGCCTGCCTCTTGCCTGACCTTTAGAACATCCTGCCAAGGAAAACAATCTTCAGTTTGGAGTGCTATGTTTGGATATCTGTTTTGAAGGTCTAGCTTTGCAAAAAATTTTGGATGCAAGATTTACTGGTTGAAATCATGAAGCCAGTGATCTCTTCTGGCCTCATAATTATGAATCTAGAACTACACCAAAATTAGTAATGTAAACTTCAACTGTTTAGGAGAACTACTTGCAATACTAGCTTACATGTACAGAGGCCATCCTCTAAGAAAACAATCAGTA